CAAATATCGGTGTCGATAGCAGCAATTTTTTCACAAACTGAGGAAAAATCCATGTTCCAGCTCATCTAAAATAGTCCATTATTTTCTACATAGCTCTAATAAAACTATCGAATCCAGACCAAAACAGGATTTCGCTCCATTCGAACTTTTATAATTCTAATATATTTAACGGATGGTATCGCCTAAGTCACTCTGATAAGGATTTATAGATGTACAAGCAGTGGACAATGGAAAATCAACAAGTAAACGCGTTGACACGTAAATAATGCGCGGTCGACAATAGGGTTTCGAAAGAACAAAGATAAAAGCATAAACGTTCACAAGCGTACTTACTCGCTCATACATTGGAACGTGTTCGATATATTTTCGTACAACATACGCCGTTGCTTCATCCAGCACATTTATGACGGGAACGTCTGTGTTCTGCAACCGATGTTTGCGCTAAGATTGGTAGTACAACTGCTAAATACTTACATCAAGTGATAAGATAGATATAATTTGCTTCACTTCCTTCAATAATGAGATGGCTATTTTCCTCGGTTGTGGCCCAAAATTAGGAGATAATGCTATGAATCTCAAAATCCATATAATATATTCACTTACCTAATTTGACATAACATCACAAGAGCAAAACCCTCTACTGCGTGAAGAACCGAAGCATAATTCAGCACATAGAGTGGTGGAGTAATGTGATTGGAATGCTCGTTGTTCTCCTTAAAAGGAGAGCTTTCGCAATGAAGAGTGCTATTATATTACGTCATTCTTCTTGACAACGTGACCGTAACCTAGATATCAAAATAGGAGGAAAACTAAATCGGTCATATGTTTTACCGGTATGCGCTCATACTTACTGCTATATGATGCGCACTGATTGCCCGAAAAAAATTTCTTGTTAGTATTAAACTTTTAGATTTTATTTTTGAGGAGGTCCAAAAAGTATAGAAAACTTGAGCTCCATCTCTCATCACATCCCTTGCAAAGAATGATCAGTAAAATTCGTGAATATAAC